AAAGCAGAGGCAGTTTCTCTTAACTATGTGGCAATTGATGAATATTTTCTTACGGTCTACAGTCAAAGAGAATATATTCTCCAAACACATTCACTGAAGCCTGGTTTCAAGCCCTGGGGCCAGACTGAACTCTAAATGACTATGCAGGCGTCTGTCCACTAGATATTTATATATGTACCGAGGGACTGATTTAACCACGGAAACCAAGGAATCAGAGAAGAATTTCACTTTATTTGAGAATAATTCAAGAGACCTATATGATTACGAGTGACAACAAGAAGATAAATCACGAAAAGAACATGTATACGATCTATGGTAAGCTAAAACAAGAAAAAAGAGGCATCCAAAAAACAAATCCCTCAAGGGGATTCGTACCCGTGCTACTATGGAGCTGGGTGGGATAAATAGTGTGAATGTGGACAACCACTCGACTATTGGGAGGCTAACATAAAAGTAAGAGTATGAAGAGTGTCCCTTGGCTCGCAATCCCGCGGTTGTACAAGATGACTTTTTAGCCCTAATTGCTGAAAACTACCGTCGCAGCATCACGTCCACTCCTCACAAGTAGTCATGTCTAAATTCAAACCTAAACATCAGGTTCGGGTCACTGATGATCTCTCATACCGATATAAGGTATCAGGTACCTCTGGGCACCGACAGGTGGGTCAATCAATAAGCTATGGATACCACATTGTTTGCCTGCCCCTGACATTCACGGATTACGATCAAGATCTCCGATACACAGCGGAGATAACCCCGGACATCGATCTAAAGCCGGGCTCGAGGCCCACGGTTTGTGGAGTCAAGTGCCGGCCTTCCGCAAACTGTATTTTGTGCTGTCACCACCCTTCAAACGCAGGTGCATTGAAGGTGCTACTGCTATTTATCGCGAAAGACAATAAACCATCATCAGTTCACTCGAGCTCTCTAAATATGCCATATGTTACACAATCGGGCCAACTACCCTCATTGAATAAATCGAATACCCCAACTTTTGAGGCAGCCAAATCTGAGAAGGCATCCGTGGTTCATCTCGCCGCCCCACCGCACTAAACGCTCGCCACGCCCGTATATCCGAACTACTCACCATAACTCTACGAATTTCGGATATACACAGCCAGAAAATTGCAAGAAATCGGATATAGCACCCCGCAAGGACCCTAACTCTAATATGCCACAGCGGGTCCGGATAGAATACGCGGCAACGTCTCGACCTGCAGACTCCCCCCAATGGACGCTAACGGCGCGCTTCAATTTCGAAGGCGAACCAAGCGCTGAAGAAGTGACAGGGGGTTGCTTCAACGGTTACTAATGTCGGTAGTGGAGTCCCTGTCTCCTTCAAATAGAAGAGGGGGCGCCCTCCCCCAGAAAAAAAAAAGAAACTTGAGTGATCCTGCAAGAAACCAAACAACCACCTTCCCCAGATATCAAAATGGTCACCACAACCGCAATCCCCCTCATCATCCACGGCAAAGACATCCTCCTCTCCAACAATGACCGCAAACACCCCATCACTTCTAAATCCGCACCACACCTAAAATCTTTCCAAGGCGCAACCTCCGATCTCGCCGTTCAAGCAGTTGAATCCTGCGCAAGTGCCTTCCCGTCATGGTCACAAACACCCCCCGAGGAACGTCGACGTCTGCTTCTCAATCTGGCCAGGGTAAGCCGCTCAACACCCTAGTTTTGTCGTCACTTGTCGTCAAGAAATATTTTCGTCTAACAATAGATGATAAAGCTCCTCCGCGAAAAATCCAGCACCATCCAAACTCTCATCAAAGATGAAATTCACTGCACACCACTCTGGTCCCAGCTCAACGTCGAAATAGCAGCCGGCATTGTCGAGGAGACCGCGTCAGTAATAACAGACGCTATTAGCGGCACGATCCCTTCATCGCAGGGAAATACGTACGCGCTTGTCATGAAGAAGCCGCTCGGTGTGGTGCTCGGCATCGCGCCGTGGAACGCACCAGTGATTTTGGGATTGAGATCCGTTATTCCGGTGGTTGCGGCGGGAAATACAGCCATTTTGAAGGTGAGGATTGTCACTATGTCTTCATCCAATGGAAGGGATAATTGGTCGCTGACAAGAGTAGGGTTCCGAATTGAGTCCTCAAACGCATTACTTCCTTGCTGCGCTGTTCAGAGAGGCAGGGTTCCCACCTGGAGTGGTGAACTTTGTTCTGCATCGGCCGCAGGACGCAGCGGAGATCTACGAGTGTATGATTCAGCATCCGGCTGTGAAGAAGTGCAATTTCACAGGGTCAACGCAGGTGGGACGTGTGATTGCGTCCAAGGCGGCGATGGCGTTGAAGCCAGTGCTGTTGGAGTTGGGTGGTAAGAATCCCGTCGTGGTATTGGAGGATGCGGATCTCGATCAGGCGGCGGATGAAATTATTGGGGCGGGTTATCTGAACGTGAGTATCGGCTTCTATCTCGTGGACTTGTTTTGGAAGGCGATGTGTGCTAACAAGATTGATCATAGAATGGCCAGATTTGCATGTCGACTGATCTCGTCTACGTTGTTCAGTCCGTGGCGAAGGAGTTGACCAAGAAGATCCTAGAGCGCTTGCACAGCGAAGATCGGCCACACAAGGTTATCTCGGCGGCGGGTCGAGCTCGTCTTACGCAGTTAGTGGAGGATGCAAGGTCCAAGGGTGCTGGCATTCACCAGGCTCGCAACCCTCTCGCTGAGGATCCCTTGGCTTTCCCAGCTACGGTGATTGAAGGTGTCACGGAAGAAATGGAGTTCTATACAATCGAGTCGTTTGGCCCGGTATTTGGCATCATTGCTGTTGAATCAGCAGAACAGGGTCTGCAGATGGTTAAGCGGTCCGCGTACGGTCTATCGTCGGCGGTGTTTACGCGGGACCATTTCAAGGCCCTGGGGATGTCTGCAGATATTGCCGTCGGAGCGGTCCATGTCAACGGAGGCACGGTGCATGATGAACCGACGTTACCGCACGGAGGAGTGGGAGACAGTGGATATGGTCGATTTGGAGGGAAATGGGGTTTGAATGAGTTTCTACAAACGCAGACTGTGATTTTGAATCGGGTTCGGGCTTCCTTGTAGTGCCGAGAGTGGGATATCCGGTTGATTTGCATGAAAAAGCGGCACTGGTTATAAATAATAATTTCTAGGAAGTCGGCAGATAAAACATACTGTTACCACTTCAAGCTCTTTCTTACTAACTTGAATAACCACACAGTATTCTTGATAGCCTATAAATTACACCGTATTCCATCGACTTCCTTGGCGAAAGACTGTGACCTTTAATCACTCCGTGGTACTACCGTCCCAAATATAACCAAGACTCCACTGCAACTTACCTCAGCTTAAGCAGTATAAATCTCTTGGAAGTATATATATTCCTTGAAAGTATTACTACTGTCGGAATCATTACTCTTGACAATTGTCGCGATGCAGTCCGCCGGTTACAATTTCCAGCAGTCAAAGATAGAAAGTTTCATTCAAACTTAGCCATGAAATAAGCAAAAGCGCCGACCATGTCCCTTATGCAGTTACCTCTTGCGCCAATCCCATCAGATCCCGGTCTATCAACTATCACTATAACGAAAAGTCCTTTGCAAGCCGTCAAAGAAGCCATTGCGCCACTGTCAAAATCGCTCTCTGCTACCGGGAGGACTGGAATTCAATCCCACTCGCTTGCGAAAGGGTTCTCTTCCTACCAAGGGCTGCTCCGCCACCCGTGAGACCACTGGCGTGATCAATGATGCGCCGTAAAGTCGATATAATTTGGATTCCCTGGCCATGGTCCCACCTGTAGTGGGCGACGGAGTACTGAGACGTTTTGTCAGCCCCATTCCTTATGGTCCCTGGTCATTTCCTTCGTTTCTACTTACTTTGCTATCGTTTCCCAATCGAATAAATTCCCAGATGTTACTGTCAGTTGCAACACCGTAGATAGCAGTGTCGTGGCGACCGGCCGCTCTCCGGGCCTGGTGTAGCATCGCTATTGTTCGTTAGAAAGTAGTCTAGTAAACGATGAAGCTGAAAGTGGGTTGATCGAAATAATCCATCGCCAATGTCCAGAGCAGGAGAGGGGATAGGTGCAAACGTTAGAAAACAATATAATCTGTATACTGACCCATGTAAACGAGAGTTTGGTCCACGCCCATCACCCCCTTCCTCTTCGCCTCGCACACGACAAGATTTGCTTCCATCTGGCCAGGTTCTCCGTACCAAAGTGAGTAATCGGTCCTGCCAGTTACTAGCCATCTTTTCTTGTTGGGAAATGTCCATTCCATCTTCATGTCCTTTTCAAATTGCAAGTGTACGGATCGGACAGATTGGGTGGACGAGGAAGACATCCGGTTCTGGTTTGATCTTTCCTCCCTCTTTGCTGCGGCGAGGGTGCTGAAGAGCACGGCATCGATTCGGGCCCGGGTATGCGCCTCATTAAGCGGTGCCCCTTCTATCACGATATCTATATCACGTAGTGCTTCTCCTGCATCGATTTAGTAAAGGCTTGGTTGAATGACACGCCCGGAAAGCGGCTTACTAAGGTGTTGGGGGATTGCGACGCGATCCTTCGCCGATAGAGTCCAGTTTCCACCGGTTGAATCAACAGAGATGCCGAAGGTCTTTTCGACATCTTCAGGCTTTATACTAGTAACTGCTTTATAAGAGTAGGATGATCCTTGACCTTGCTGTTCTTGACGTGACTCCTTCTTGGCTAAATCGAAATGTTTGGAGAGTTCTGGATCCAGCTCGTTCTTCTTCTGTTCACCAACAGACCGCGAGATGGCGGCCTTAATACTGGCCTCGAGACGATTAATTATCACCTCCATTGTCGGCGCTGCATCTTCTCGATTTCAGAAGGTGAGGCACTTTAGAAAGGTGTTGAGATTTTAGGAGGGTGATGGCGAAAGAAAGAATGGATGATGTAGTTGATATTTCGTCATTATTTATAGGGGTGGTTTATGACTCCGCATTAACCTCATACTTCAAACATTCATTCACTGCATCTATTCCTCAACTTCACTCATTGCTCATCTCCAGCATCTACTTCACCCTTCCAAAGCCCTTTACCTCTACTATCGACACACAGTACAAAATGGATATGTATGATCCCAAGGATGTAGGGGTGGGGAATGACATAACTGCCCTTGCACCTTATTTCAGACTTGGCCTCGATCTCACTCGAGCTCAGGATGAGGAAGCGGAGAAGCCATGGCTGATTGACCAGAACCTTACCGATGTTCAAATACCAAAGAATCTGGGTATGTGATGATCCCCCGAGAACTAGATCTAACGTCGCTTCTAACTACTACTTTCAAAGAGACTCTATTGGAGGACTTCGCTTTAGGGCTCGGTTCTGGAGACTGTGACACGAGATTGATTCGGCCTCGACTGAGTGCAATACTTATGGTGTTGTTGGCCAAGGTCATGAAGGAAACTTGTACCAGTGGAGTTAACGAAGAAGATCCAGCAGCTGAGTCTGCGTCCAACTCCGAGCGCCCTTCAGTTGACTATTCAACGCCATGCTGGTGGTTGACCAGAAAATCATTCTCCCACCTGTCACTGACTTCGAAACTGATACTGTGGAGATTACTATGCATTTTCTTCTACTGTACGGCTGCCGCCCAACTTTGGATACAAACGTCATTGTGCTTAGGAAACAGACGATCTTTCCAGATGAGGGCTGGGGAGTCCTTGCAGCCATGTGTAAGTTCATTCGTACTCCCTTTTCATTTCTAGAGTTGATGGACATTGACTTCGGTCGACCAGCCGCTATTCATCGCCAGCGGAAAGAGGCAGGCGATAACGGGGACATTTACGGAATCCATACCGACACCTATACTTGGAATTTCTTTCACCTGAACGATAGCGGCAAGGTACGATCTTGGGCCCTCTTATTTTACCGTTATTTCCCTATCTCATTTTCCGTCTGAATGCAGCTGAACTTTTACAATATAGTATTCAACCAAATTGGATTTGTCCTGGTACTTGGACCAAAAGGAGGTCATCGGTCGCGTCTGCCATATAATAAGAGAAGCCGCAACTCTCTCCCGAGAAGTAGGAGGTAGGGATCCTATGCTAGGCGTCTTTGAGCCAGAAACCGAAGGCAAAAGTGATGACGAAAAGTCTGATCAATGGTCGCTCTACTAAGTGAAACGTTGGTGTGGTCCATCGGGTAGAATCTAGCTTCTATCAAGGGATTCTGCTGCTATGTTCTTCTGCCCTCGAGCCTATAGCTTCCAGTAACGATAAATACGCCAGGCTAGACTGTTCACATGGCATATCATGATCAATCCAGCCAACAACCCAGGACTGGATTTATCGGAAGCCAAAGACCCGTACCTCGAGTTTGATATTGAATTTAGAACCCGACCATAGAGAAGCTGCCAAGTTTTGTTGGCTCCCTGCGCTAATGCTGTCTGATATTTGCTACTAAACTGAAAGGAAGTTGATATTCTCCGAAGTGACCGTTGCACAGTGCAACGCGGCCCATCAGCTGGTGCCGTATTATCCTTGTTCTGTCCTACATGCCATTTTACCTGAGGTTGCATGTATTTATTCATGGTGGATCTTCGCAGCCCTGGCACTTGCGTTGCTTTTATTCCGGGTGTTCGGATGTCAGCCCATTGCCTGTCCTACATGTTGAGTAAAATGCTACGACTGCTCTTTCTTTCTCTTACAAGCATATGAACTGAACTCATTATGCCTTAAATAACAGGTTATGTTAGTAATTACGTATTTTAGATAGAGTACTAGAGATTATGAAAGGACAACTTTTTAGCACGTGGATATATTTCTTTGGCCGGCAAGATCTACAGAGCATGAGGAATGTTCACAGATCCTGCGTTCCAGCAACCTTCGAATGGATCTTCATAGCGTATTTTCTTTTTCAAAAAGCTTGGAATAAAGACATCAACGAATACACTATCTGATTGCATCGTGGGAAGGTATTCTTACAGCATGCATTGCATAGCCTCGTTCAGAACCTATGTCATCATTCTCAAGGTTCACACAGTATCGCACAGCCTTACCCCTTAGGATCAATGTGGATTGACATAGTGAACCATAGGCAACTCAATTGCCTATTTTGAATTTTCGATCAATTTCCATATACCCCTTCCAATCAATAGCTGATGTGAGAAAGAACAAGTGTCCATTCACCAGCAAGCCAGCCTGAAATTGCCGGGGCACCCGACCAGCCAAGGATTGCGGGAATCAGCCCGTCAGACGGGAAAAGAAAGACCGACAAAAGAACGAAATCAAATGCATGGAGCCGTTTGTAACGTGGGGGCCAGACGGTGGGCTGTGAGAACGAGGCTAGAATGTGGAGATTCAGGGCGCTAATGCATGATCAAAACTCTATTGAATTGCTGACTGCTGTAGCCTGATTTACCCATTAGGCGTTCTGTCGCGGGGAAGGAATGTGTGATTCCAGGGTAGAGAAGTGTGAACGAGGAAGCCATGTCAGAACTGTATCACAACAAAGAAATCTTAGTGCAGGATATTATAGGCAGGTTGTAAGTGATAGTAGGGGGGAAGGGAGTGACTGCGGTGAAGTTCTTACAGGGATTGATGGAATAGTAGGGCTTGCCTGGAGATCCCCGCCCGGATGATTTACAAGGCTCTTTAATTACACCAACCGAACATCAGCTTAACTTTTTATAACTCCCATCTAAACTATACTGTCCCCTCATACACTCATCCATCCACGCCACTTCAGCTGCCATCCTCTGGTAACCACCACCATGTCCTGGACCAAACAAACCGACCACTGGAGCCGTCCGCTAGACTGCCACGACCGCCTCTTCCAATTCATCGGCGAGTCAGGCAAACCACTCGGTCGCGAACACTGGCTCACCATCGGCGCCATCCAGCTCGACTTCCCCAACAATAACAACAACACCGACAAGATCATCACACAACTACGCAATGCCTGGAAATCCCTCCGCATGCGCTATCCCGACATCGCCGGCGAACTGCACGCCCACGAAAAGCGCTACTACCCGATCACAAGCCCTGAAGCTTTAGAATCCTGGTGCAACAACACCTTCAAGATCGAAGACGCAGCGCAATCCGCCGACGACCTCTTCACCAACAAACTGCACATCACAGACCCGCACGCAACCGCGCACTGGATTCCCAGCAGCCAGGAATTCTGCATCGTCTCAGCCCACTGGCGCTGGGACGGCAGCGGGCTCGCCATGGTACTGGACCAGTTCCTCTCCGAGCTGCAAGCTCCATCCATAACCACCACCACAACCTCCTCATTCGACGGCAGTGAAGCCACCCGACTCATCCCCTCGCTGGACGCCATCATCGGCATGCCTGCTTCCCCCGAAGCCAGAAACCCCGAATGGTCTCGTCGCGCCGACGAACTCCTCGCTACCTTCCTCGAAGGCCAACCCTCCATCGGCCTCCCCGTGCTTGACCCTATGGCCTTACCTGCAAAGTCTCTCCGCACGGAGCATGTCGTGCCCGCGGACCAGGCGACCGCGCTGCGTCGCGCCTGTCGCGCACGAAACATCACCCTAACGACAGCTATGCATGCCTCTGCAATCATTGAGACGGCGCGTGCTGCTGCTGCTGCTGCTGCTGCTAATTCTACCAATCTATCATCGCGCTACATCTCCTGGCAAGCCTTCGATCTCCGAAAATACCTGCCCCCACCCTACGACGGCCCCATTCACGGCCCGTCCCTGCGCATGGTCGGCCTCCCGCTGAATGTCGAAGCCACGCCGACAACGAACTGGTCCGATCTCGTCGAAACCATCCAGCCGCTGTACCGTCAGTCGTGGAACTTGGCTGATAGTAACATGATGTTTATCAGGGCGCCGTTTGTCGAAAAGGCCACGGCTATGTTCCAGGCTGCGGCTGCGGCGGGCGCGTCGCAACCCACGGAGCCAAATATCAATAGTTTGGGGCCTATAGATCGATTGATTAGGGAGAGTTATGGGGACGTGAAGGTTAAGGGGTTGGTGCTTATGGTGCAGATGTTGGCGCAGCAGTTGTATGTGCATTGTTGGAGTTGGAGGGATGAGTTGCATTTGAGTGCGAGTTATAATGAGGCGTATTATGAAAAGGGGTTTGTGGAGGAGTGGCTGAAGGCTATGAAGGAGAATATGGTCTTGAATTTGTTGGGGGAGGAGGCTGATACGAATAAGGGTGCGTTGCTTTGATGAAGATGTTTTCATTTTCCCCTTTCTACTTGTTTATCTGCGTTTCTTCTTTTCGGGTTATATTCTCTATTTGAAAGTGCGTTGCATGATCGATGAATGATTGTTCTAACGATTTATAGACTCCATTGTCGGCTGAGTTGTCAACTATACAGTTGATACTACTAAGAGGTTTGTATGTTTGTTAAAGTGATTGTGTGGGGATTGATGTTTGCATCTGCCAAAGCTACATACTCCCAGACGATTTATTGAATAAATGCAGGAGTTGGAATCATCCGGAATAAAGGACGCTTCACTCATTAACTAATTAATATATATTGAGTAGCAATAGTACCAGTGGGGCAATCGCCCCCTCTCTCACCTGTGGACACTCCTCCGCCCATAAGATTGTGCAACATGGAGAATGAAGGATGAACGAAGAATTTCCGTACTTAGCTCAGAGCTGTGTGTGACTGAGGATCTCAGAAATTCTTGTCCCGGGCGGAACTCGGCCCAACTCCAACTCATCAGCGCTAAATACCCTTCTGCAACTGGGCTGGAACCAGTACCCACATATATATCCCTGCGATCCCGGCACGCTAAAAAAAGCACCCAGTTTAGCGGCATGCAACACGATTCCGACGCAATTTACAGATTTGCTTTTGCTGGAGAGGGGTTGGGGTTGGGGGCGGAAACTTATGGACCATCATTGCCCCGGAGGGTTGGATTACTATTATTGAACGAAGAAAACAACAAAGAAATATTAGGTTCAGACCAATGCTAAACCACATCAACGTCTACACTCTGCTTCACGTAGATGTGGCAGGGGCCGAGCTGGTCCATCTTGTACGACTCGCCATCCCCGCGCGTGATTTCCGTCTGCTGGGTACTCAGCAGCGGATCTTCCACCCGTCGATAGGGTGCGCTCTTACCTGCCGGAGCATTGTGCGGCGTGTTGTCGCTTCCGTAGGGATACGGTGGCGAGGGCGACTTCCCCGTAGACATCTTTCCCCGTGCCACTCGGAATAATGGGGCGTAGGTTGGCAGACATGCGCAGAGCGTGGCTACACCCAGCTGGACTGATGACCAGACCATTGTCTCGGGGGCCCGGACCACCTGCGGCGTGGCTGGAATCCACAGATAGGAGAGCTTGCAGATACTGGCAATGCAGACCCTATTCCATGCGATCAGCAACGAATTCCAAAATTGTCAGAGAGAACACTCACAGTCCACCCAGCAGGAATATACCGGTAACCTGGATCTTGCGCGTACGACTGAGCTGCAGCCTCGTCACCACATACACAGGCAGAAACAAGATCATAACGTCGAGAAACAGGTTCGTGAGCTCCATCCCCAACCAAAGCCGACCACTGGCAATGCAGTATTCCGCAGCCCCCATCGCATCCCACAACATGTGAATGGGATGACACTGGAATATGTTGACGAATAGAACGATGAGGAACCAAGCAACGCAGAGGCCGGCTGTCACATAGTTCAAGATGCGGTATATTCTGGAAATCTTGAAGAGACCGTGCAGGAAGGCGAGTACCGACAATTTAACAAAGCTGATGGTCGCCATGAAGAAAAGGTCGGCGACGTAGAGTGTCTAGCCCAAAAACTCAGTCAGTTTCGCGCGCACATACGGATGGCACAGCGCAACACACCTTTAGAAATGCCTTAGCCCAGACCATACCCCCAATGTCTGTATCGGCGGCGAATTCGTTCAAGTCGAACGTGCCTGGGCCGGGTCCCGCGACAATATCTGGGTGACCATAGGATCAGTAACCACTTTCCCTCGCCATGAATTATTCGAGACGACGACGTACACTGAATTAACAGAGCCGCAAACACTGCCATGCATGCCAGTGATAGCAGAAGCAGGCCGTCGGATAGGGGAGACCATTGTCGAGTCATGATTCTCACCACCAACCGGAGAGCGACCGAGACCACCGCCAGCGCCAGCATCGAGATGGCGGCGCCCAGGTTGTCCCGGCCGGTTTTACCGATATGCTTCATCCTGACGGTGGTGTACTGGGGTGGATTGAGAAGCACGAGCAGCAGGCCGGAAAGAAATGGAAAACGCGGCCGGGGTTGGTCCCTCGCGAGGCTGACTCGGCGTACCAATCCCGAGTATCAGTCGATCGGCAACAGTCAGAAGCGCGGTAAAAGAAGAGCGGAGGTGTAGAAGAAGGTGATGATTGATTTGAAAGACGATGGCTGGCGTCAGGGCGCTAGATCCACGAAGCTTAGAGGAAAGGCAAAAGGAAAAGGAATATGATCGCTGGCTGTCAGCAAGGTCGCATACCCTGGAACCAGGCGAGCTGAACTATCATCACACATGGAAGGCTTATGGCCCCCATGCGATCGGAGAGTCTATTCAGCCAGGGGAGGAGGTTATTGCACGGTCGGAGGAGAGTGGCACGGCAAGGAGGAAGGAAGGGGGTGGGGACGAGACCAAATGAGACGGTGATGAGATGAGATGTATTTGAGAATTGGACGTAAACTTGGCCCCTCGCCCCAGCACAGCAGCTAGTACGAAGTATAGTAGGAGCACTGTTCAGACTTTGTCTATTTCTTCACTTCTCATCGGCCTCCCCGCATCATGTTCGTCGCAATGGCCCCGTGGGTCCCAGGCGGGAAGAAGGGAGGGCAGTTGCGGAATGGGCAAACACTGGGTTAGGGATGGATAGACAAGGTCGCCAGGCCGGATAACTGCCATAGCCTCCTGCTTAGGCACCAGCTGGGTCCCCCGACAGGGATCATCAAGGCTATCCCGGTTAAACTGGCTGTCAGCGTCCAGCATTAACCTGGTTAATCGTTGACCAACCTGGGTGTGGAGGGCGGGTCAGTCAGCGGATGGATCCTAACAGAGCATATCGCATGATGCAGCAGTTCGCGATTCGCTCGTGGCCCTTAACCAACGTTCCTCGGTGTAGCAGCCACATTGTTTGGCTGTGGCCGTCGGCGTGGAGTGGGTGAGATTTTAGGGCATTTCTGGGCAGCGAGTTGAGCGGGTGAGAGAGGAGAGAAGAGGGGATGCTGCATTAGTGGCTTGTCGTGATAATCATACCCTTTCCGGTCATTCTCTGGGCAATCCAACCATCACACCTTATTGGCATGTGTCAAACACTTGATTTTCACACACTGCATTACCGTCAAAATACCTGCTCAGACAACAGCACTGACCTTTCCGCCCCTGCACGATCAACACCCCCGGCCAAGGATGTCAGTCCTGGCGATGATTCAGCCGGCAGGAATGAGGCTCAATCCGGGTACCTGTTCCGCTGTATCTATCGTCGGCCGCGACTATGCCTTGATATAGTAGGTAGTTCGCGCGAGACTATTAACTCGGCACACTTATAGGCTGTGGGGCGATGGCTGCGGATCCCGGTCCATACTATCTTGATAGCAATCGTTTTTGACTGTTTTTGACTAGCCCTGAAAGGAACTGTACTCGCGCTTGGCGATGTGCAAATGATGGGTTGTGACAGGACCGTAAAAGGTTTCTAGGCCATGCAGCTCCATCACACTTTACTTCGTATGGCCAGATCGCGTTTTCTAACGCTTAAGGCTCCCCATGGGTCAGGCTGGCAATCGGATGAGCCATGAGTAATTTATCTCGCAACATTGATGACTGCGACGGCGAGCGGGGAGAGATCGCAGCCGGGAGCGAAGTAGATAAGAAGGGACTCCCACTTATCCTCTCGATCGAGGTTTCCTTTCTCTCAACACATTCATCAACACTGCGCCTTCAGTAGTGCCAACGAAGTTATACAATGCAGCTACTAACGACTGACGGCCTTGTCTCCCGCGGTGGAGCACTACAGAGTTCTCAGACTCTTGACGGGTCTGATCCTGTGGCCGTCGTGGGCTTCTCCTTGAGATTCCCTCAGGATGCTACCTCCCCGCAATCCTTCTGGGAAATACTTCAAGAAGGTCGATCCGTCACAACAGAAGTTCCTTCTGACCGATTCAATATAAATGGCTTCTACCACCCAGATGCGTCTCGAAATGACACAGTATGTATGATCATCGCTGGCGAGGATACCTGGTCCTAACAGCATGACAGGTAAACGCGCGGGGTGGCCATTTCCTGAAAGAGAATGTGGCAGCCTTTGACGCACCGTTCTTTTCCATGAGCCCCGGTGAGGTCGAAAGCTTGGATCCGCAGCAACGGGGCTTGCTGGAGACAACCTACAGGGCCCTCGAGAATGGTAAGACTCTGAGAAAATCATCATGGAGTAAGATACTAAGAATGACGGCAGCTGGCATTCCCATCGAAAGAGCAGCGGGCTCCGCCACCTCCGTCTATGTCGGGGCGTTGGGAGTGGAGTACAACCGATTCTTCGAATTCGACGAAGAGGTCCAGGCCACGTATAAGGCTACCGGTAACTCAGGAGCCATCTTAGCGAACCGGCTAAGTTGGTTCTACGATCTGCGGGGGCCGAGTATGACCATTGAAACAGCTTGCTCGAGCAGCTTGATTGGCCTGCACCTTGCCTGTCAGAGCCTTCGCTCGAAGGAGTCGCGAATGGTGGGTGCAACTCCCGAAATGCTCACGTAACACTATCTGACAGGGAATGTCTCTAGAGTTTGGTATGCGGCTCACAGCTCTACCTGGAGCCAATGACAAGCGCGATCTCGCTCTCCGCTCTGCAATTTATTTCTCCTGACAGTCGTTGCCACAGCTTTGGGGCTGATGGTAACGGGTATGCCAAGGGCGAAGGGTTCGGCGTCCTGGTACTGAAGCGGTTAAGTGATGCTATAGCTGATGGCGATGTAATTCGAGCGGTGGTCCGAGCGACTGCGACGAACCAAGATGGACGCACTCCTGGTATCTCTCAGCCAAGTCAGGCAGCTCAGGAGATGTTGATCCGGGAGGCGTACCGTTCGGGTGGTCTGGATCTCGCATCCACCCGGTTGTTCGAGGCCCATGGTCCGGGAACGAAACTAGGTGATCCCATTGAAGCAGGTGCCATCAAATCAGTCTTCCAGAAACATCGCAGCCCGGACGACCCCATGCACATTGGTGCGGTGAAGGCCAACATCGGCCATTTAGAAGCGACAGCTGGTCTGGCGGGTTTGATCAAGACAATTCTGAGTCTGGAGAAAGGCATCATCCCCCCGATAGCTGGATTTAAAGAGGTCAACCCTCGGATTCCGGCAGATGAATGGAACCTAAAGTTCCCGACCAAGCCGCTTCCATGGCCCACAGATGGTCTCCGACGGGCATCGGTCAACGCATTTGGCTATGGAGGATCGAATGCCCACGCCGTCCTGGATGATGCATACAACTACCTGCGGGAGCATGGCCTCGAAGCACACCACGTCACTGCAAAAAGACCGCCCTCCTTGGCCATCTTAGAGAATGGCGTGTCCAATGATGCCACCAATAGCATTACCAATGGCCACAGTAATGGATATACCAATGGCCACGCTAATGGCCACACGAACGGTCATGCAAATGGCTACGCAACCAATGGCTATAACAGCCATGATGGAAATGGTATGACCGTGTCTAACGGTACCTCGCATGACGAAGCGGAAGAAACCCCATACGTTTTTACCTGGTCTGCCTCCGATTCAAACGGAATTGAGCGACTCGGGGCAGCATATGAGGACTACCTAAACCGAATCGACCCTCATGACGCATCGGAAGAATTTTTGCGCGATCTAGCATACACCTTATCCAACAAACGCAGTGTTCTGCCCTGGAAGTCTTTCGTGTTGGCGGGAAACCTGGAAAGTCTCAAGACGCAGGTACAAAATATGCCAAAGCCCGTGCGATCGTCGACAAGCCCGCGGATCAATTTTGTCTTTACCGGTCAAGGTGCACAGTGGACCCGAATGGGTATTGAGCTTCTGAAATTTGAGACATTCCGGCAAAGCATTCTAAAAGCGGACTCCTATCTTAAAGGACTCGGAAGCTCCTGGTCGCTGATCGAAGAGCTGCACAAGCCTGCGGATTCTTCTCAGATTGATAGCCCGGCGTTAGCACAGCCGCTATGTACCGCTCTGCAGGTAGCACTAGTGGAGCTCCTGGAAGGCTGGGGTGTGACTCCCTGGGGCGTGGTGGGCCATTCGTCGGGAGAGATTGCCGCTGCATTTTGCGCAGGGGCAATTTCCCGTGAATCAGCATGGACAATTGCCTACTTCCGTGGAGCACTGGCTGCTCGGGTAGCAGAGTCAAAAACTGGCGAACGTGGGGCTATGATGGCTGTTGGCTTGTCCGTATCCGAACTCCAGCCTCATTTCGACGAGATCTCGGCTGTCCATGGCAAACAATGCCTGTCAATTGGCTGCATCAATAGCGCCAATAACATAACCGTGACAGGATTGGACAAGTCTATCGACGCCCTCAAGGTCCGCCTAGACGAGAAGCAGGTGTTTGCCCGCAAGCTGAGAATCCCAGTTGCCTACCACTCTTCTCACATGCAAGTGATTGCCGAGGAATATAAGAACCTTTTGCAAGGTATTTGCCCACCGGACCAATCTGCTCGCAAAGGAGAAACACCCGTATTTGTGTCATCAGTCACAGGACAACCTGTTCCAGTTAAACAGCTCTCTCTGCCCCAATACTGGGTGAAGAACCTCGTGTCAACTGTCAGGTTTTCTGAAGCTCTTGGTGAACTGTCTCAAGCCAGCCGAAATGCAGGGTCCAACACGCAAGTGGACCACTACGTTGAGATTGGTCCACATGCAGCTATGCAAAGAGCGGTGATGGACAATGTGCCTCAATCCGAAGATGTCAAATATGACGCAGCGATGCGACGAGGTGTCTCCGGACTGAAATCCTTGCAGCAGCTGTCCGGGAAACTCTGGACCGAAGGCTACCCTGTCAAGATCGAAGCTGTCAATAGTCATGGATCGAACCGACCGGCGAAAGTGGTAGTTGACCTACCAGAGTACCCGTTCAATCATTCCCAGACTTACTGGCTCGAGAGTCGACTGTTCAAGAATTACAGAATGCGCGACAATATTCGACACGAGTTAGTAGGCATTCCCACAAACGACTGGAATCCGCTTGAGCCGAAGTTCCGCTTCACCATTCGGGTATCTGACCTTCCATGGCTGACAGACCACCGGGTGGGTTCCAACTTATAATCATCTGTAAAGAACAACATGCTAACTAAAATTTAGTTGAATGGATCCCCGGTCTACCCTGCCGCGGGAATGGCAGTTATGGCTATCGAGGCTGCTAGGCATCTAGTGAAGCCTGGTCATGCAGTTAGAGGATACCGCCTCCGAGACGTAAGAATATTCTCTGCCTTAGTTGTCCCTGAGACCCCTGAAGGGGTAGAAAGTCAGATCTTCCTACGTAATGCAGAGAACAGTCGGACCACTGGTGTCCAGACAGTCGAATGCAGAGAGTTCAACGTATATGTGTACTCGGACAATGAATGGCGGGAGGTTTGCGCTGGCTCTGTCGTCACGGAGTACGAAGAGACGCCCGATGAGGTGTACGGAGGCGACGAGCGAAGCCTGACGAAGAATTATTACCAGACAATGTACCAACAAGCAGTTGACCGTTGCTCAGTGACGAGTACTCAGCAGGTCTTCTATGATGCTGGTCATAAGATTGGGTATGGCTTTGGTCCCCTGTTCAATACTCTTCACGACCTCGCCTACGACCCGGAAGGGGACCAAGCTGTGGCCGTTGTTGAGCCTGATGAGTGGAGAGGTAAAGTTCCTGAGAAGAACTCTCAAGTGCAGCCGCATATCATTCACCCCACAGCCTTGGACGGGGTGTTTCAAGTTACGGCTGTGGCGACCACCAAAGGTGGAACAGAACTTGGCCCGTTGCAGGCACCGACTCAATTGCGAGATTTCTGGATCTCGCATGATCTGATTGAGCGCAAACCATCCACAAGATTGAATGTTCTGGCGCAGACCACGCTACAAGCAGCACGAGAAACCGACTCATTCATTCTTGCCATCAACTCAGATACGGGAGAACCAGCCATTGTAATAGAGGGCTATCGAGTGACAACCGTGTCTAGCCTTAGCTATAAGCCATCCGAGAAACGCAACATCTTTTACAGGCTCGATTGGAAGCCTGATGTTGACCTTATTAGCAGCTCGCAGACGGAGGCTTACTGCTTGGACAAAGAGACAATACCCGTTCAATGGAAGCCCTCTAAGGATGTGGTGACTCTGCACTACATGTCGGAAATGTTGAAGGAACTGGATGCTCAAGGCTACGAGACCTCATCCCCATACTTCCAAAGGTACTTGGCCTGGGTGCGATATCATTTCGACCTTTTGGGGGACAGCAATCCTCTTCTCCAAGCACCATGGAAAGATATTTTAGCGGACGACAGTCGTCGCGAGAAATATTTGGAGGAGTTCGCAGCCACAGGCCCGGTTGAGGGTGCGGTTAATTCGTTCTGCAAGCACCTTGCCGCAATTGTCCGCGAAGAAGTGGATCCGTTAGACCTCCTCTTCAATCAAGGCTTGGCGAAGGACCTGTACAAGGACGAGATTTTCGTGACTACCGCCAAGCGGATGGCAGTATTCATGGATCTCCTTGCGCACAAGAACTCCAAGCTTGATATCCTTGAGATCGGTGCTGGTACTGGAAGCGGTACCCAGCAAATCCTGTCGGCCTTGGGAAAACAAGGTAGCGATAAAGGCGTGACTCCTCGATACCAATCCTACACCTTCACCGATATCTCTCCTGGGTTCTTTGAAAAGGCCAAGGCAAAATTCGCCGACCATGTTGATCGCATGACTTTCCAGACATTGGATATCGAGCGCGATCCAGCTGAGCAGGGTTTCACACCGGGTGGATACGATGTTGTAATTGCTGCCACTGTGCTGCATGCTACCCAATGTGTCAGTGATACTCTAAGTCATGCCCGTTCCTTATTGAAACCAGGCGGCTACATAATTCTCATGGAGCCAACCAATAAACATGACACCGTGCTTAATGGCATCTGGGGAACACTTCCAGGATGGTGGAGATCAACCGAAGAGGACCGGAAGTGGTGCCCATTGTATTCTCGGGACGAATGGGATCACTATCTGAAACAGACCGGATACACTGGGGTGGAAATGGCAATCACCGACTTCCCAGATGTCGAGAACCATACACTCAGCTTCCTCCTCTCTCGAGCATCTCATGAGGAACCGAGCCAGGTTCAACTTCCGGATTCGCTCTTTATTGCTGCCGATACCGAGTTTCAACTCAAGGTTGCCGAAGAAATTGCTTCCTACTTCTCCTCGACGTGGGGGAAGCAATGTGATATCCTCAAGCCTGATGCTATCTCCGAGCAAACATCACAGTCGAATGTTTGCCTGTCACTTCTTGACCTGGGACGTCCGTTCCTAGCGGCAATGAGTGGGAAGGACTTTGCTCGCTTCAAGAGACTTGTGGACTTTTCAAGTCACATCTACTGGATAACAACCGGTACTGATGTGAACGCTGCACTACCAGAAAATGCAATGAGTTCCGGTTTTAGCCGAGCTGCAATGCTGGAGAAGCCTGGCCTTTACTGGGCTAATTTGAACATCCAGGACATAGCCTCTGCCGGCAAGTCTATTTGCAGTGTCCTTCAGCGCTCATGTGGCGCGTCCGGGGTTGAGGACTGGGAGGGCGATTATTGCGAGACCAGCGACGTGACGCTCATCCCCCGCGTGGTAGAAGCCAATGATATCAATGATTATGTCTACTCCCAGACTGGTGACCGGGACATCGAGCGAAGGCAGCTTGCCAGCGAGCCACATGAGGCTCTGGAAATACAGTTCTCTCCTGGGCAGCTTGGCAGTTTCCGGTACGCCAGGGATGAGATTCCAAGTAAGCCCCTCGCAGAAGACGAGGTGGAAGTGACAGTCAAGGCCACGGGAGTCAACTTTGCCGATGTGATGTGTGTACTTGGGCAGATTACCGACTCTTACATAGGACATGAATATGGGGGCGTTGTCCGGCGAGTTGGTTCAGCTGTAAAAGATCTGGCACCTGGGGATCGCGTCTGCGGCATGGCCTCTGGGACATTTAAGATGTTTGTCCGGAACAAGGTTCACACCACCATCCCTATTCCGGATCATATAGCATTCACCGACGCCTTTCCAGCGGTCTGGCTGACAGCGCTGTACGGCATCACGCACCTGGGCCGCCTTCGTAAAGGCGAGTCTGTACTCATACACGCAGCCGCGGGCGCTGTGGGTCAGGCTGCCATCCAGCTGGCACAGAATATCGGTGCCGATGTGTTTGTGACAGTCAGTTCAACAGTCAAAAAGAATCTTCTGCAAGAGCGTTATGGAATCCCTGGCGATCGTTTCTTCTCGAGCCGAAAATTGGCATTCGGTAAGCAGATCCTGCGCGCAACCAACGGTCGCGGTGTCGATGTCGTCCTCAACTCAAGCTCGGGCGAGGCGCTCGCTGAGACTTGGAAATGTGTCGCGCCTCTGGGAAGGTTCGTCGAGATTGGAAAGCGAGACATCTACTCTTTCCAGAAGCTTGCCATGTATCAGTTCTCTAAGAACGTCACCTTCTCATCACTTGACCTTCAAACGGTGTACAAGAATCATCCAGCTGTTATTAAGCAACTAATGAATGAGCTACACGAGCTGCTCTTTGCAAAGAAGCTGGGTCCTCCTCAGCCGGTGACACAGTTCTCACGTGGGGAATTTGAGTCGGCCTTCCGCTACCTTCAAACTGGCCGTCATATGGGCAAGGCAGTGATCAACTGGGAGGACGAGGCGGAGGTCTCAGTGGTGCCTAGTAACGACCCGGAATATGTCTTCGACTCCGCGGCCAGTTATATGATTGCTGGTGGTCTGGGCGGTATCGGCCGGAGTCTATCAAGGTGGCTTACCACTCGAGGAGTCAAGAATTTGATCTTACTGTCACGCTCGGGCGCAGTTTCTGATGATGCCATCGAGCTAGTCAAAGAGCTTACAGAACGAGGCGTCAATGTGGCTACTCCCCAGTGTGATGTTAGCAACGCCGAGTCTCTGGCGAGTGCAATCAGTGATTGCAAACAGACAATGCCTCCAGTCAAGGGAGTGATTCAGGCCTCTATGGTACTTAAGGTATGCTAACTGAGCCTTTTTTGGTATTGCGTAAGCAACCAGCTGACACTTTGCAGGACCGCTTGTTTGACAACATGTCTCTGGCAGAATGGCAGGCAGTGCTCGCCCCCAAGGTCGCTGGAACTTGGAACCTTCACCACCAACTTCCAGCTAACATGGACTTTTTTGTCATCCTATCTTCCCTGGGAGGTATGATTGGGTCGAGAGGCCAATCTCAGTATAATGCCGCCGCGACATTCCAGGATGCATTTGCCCGCCATAGATGGGCACACGGCCAGAAATGCATATCTATTGATGTCGGTCTACTCACGTCTGTCGGGTACGTGGCAGAACAGAAGGACGTATCCGAGCGGTGGGTCAACGCCGGTTTCGATGCCCTGTCCGAGAAAGAGCTTCACAGTGTTGTGGACTGGGCTTGTAATCCTCGCCTGAATGTGTCATCAGGATGGGATACTCAGGTTCTCACGGCCCTCAACCGGCCCATGGCCATGATTCAGCAAGGCAAAGAACTGCTGCCTTACATGAAGCGGACCATGTACCGACATCTGCATCGGATGGACCAAAGCACGACTGCGTCCGCCCCTACCTCTGCCCAGGCCGTAGACTATGCAGCCCTTCTTGGGGCTGCTGGCAATGTAGAAGAAGCAGGAGCCATTGTCGCCACAGCTCTCGCGCAGAGACTCTCTCAAGCTCTCTCGGTACCGGAGGAGGATGTTGATATCAATAGGCCTGCTCATTCCTTCGGCGTGGACTCTCTGGTGGCCGTCGAGCTGCGGTTCTGGTTTGCCAATGAAATGAAGGCAGAGCTCTCGGTCTTCAATATCCTGGCGGACTGTAGTATCAGGGAGTTGGGTCAGCAAGCGGCTGGCAAGAGTCAATATGTGCAGAAGGGGCAAGGGAACTAAGAACACCTGTCATCCGCCATTTAGTATATTGTCGTTAGATTACATCGAATCTTTACGAAACTCAATTTTGCATGATCATCCCTACACCTTCCTGAATAGTTGGGCTGTCAGCACTAATCCTTGCAGTAGCTCCAAGAGTAAAAATGACTGGGGGCTGCTTGCTGCCTACCATGCAAGGTAACACTGCTACTGCTATAGTGTGGCACTGTAAGCGGGTCCTGTCGGAATGTGCCTGCGTGTCTGACAGACTAAAACTCAATAAGCCCCTCATTCCCCAGCCTTACTCTGATTCACTAGACTTAAAGACGGCAAGCCCCCTGGCAGGTCCTGGCGCCTCCCAGATTGTCTTAAGAACCATTCGGGCAATCCTCATTTCCCTGACACTGAAAAGCAACAAAGACTTCAGACCTGTATAATCAGCCTCGTTTACTTCAAAAGATGACAAAAGAAAAACAGACCTGGTTCATCACTGGCTGCTCCAGTGGCTTTGGGGAGCAGTTTGTACGCCAGCTCCGCGCACGGGGTGACAACGTCATCGCGACAGGCCGGAATGCTGAAACCAAGCTCGCACACTTGAAAGAAACTGGTGCCACTATCCTTGAACTAGATGTCACGGCACCTCAAGAAGAGTTGAACGCGAAGTTCCAACAGGCCATTGACATTTACGGGGGAGTAGATGTACTTGTGAACAACGCGGGGTACATCCAATGCGGGGCCATCGAGGAGCTCACGTGAGTGTTGGCCTGAGGACTCCAAGTCCTTTGTTTGGCGAAGCCAATTAGGAAGGCCACGTTTGACTGACAGAGGCTTTAGGCCGGAGGATATGAAACGATCCCTCGACACGAATTTCCATGGTCCTATCAACCTGACCCGCGCCGCATTGCCGCATTTCCGCAGCAAGGGCGAAAAGGGTCAAGGTATGATCATCTACATGGGATCGCAGTCTGGCTTCTGGGGAGAGCCTGCTGCATCCGCGTACTGCGCCAGTAAATTTGCATTGGAAGGTAAATGCTCCCAGTATACCATCTGAACGTTCGCGATGAAGCTGACGGTGTGACTCTTAACCGCCACAGGGGCCGTGGAAAGTCTCTCGAAAGAGTTAGGCTGGCTGGCACCGGGTATCAAGCCTCTCATTATTGAAGCAGGCATTTTCAGCACTGAAGTCATGAGAAATATCAACCATGTTCCCTACCGAGTCGATTTCTACCGGGGCCTTAACGATGCGTGTCGCGTGCGCGGAGAGGGCAACTATCGCAACCCACCAGGCAATGCGGTGGATTTGATTGCCAAGGTCATTCAAATTGCAAAGGGAGAGGGTATTGCAGAAGGCAAAGAAATCCCCTTGCGTGTGCCATTTGGTAGTGATTCTCTTGGGTTCCTTAAGGAGAAGGCGCGGGATATGATGCGCATTGCGGAGGAATGGGAGGAGGTTGCCCGTAGCACTGATTTTCCGGACCACAAGGGCCCTATGCCGGATATTCCGGCCTGAAGTGGGCACCATGGGTCTATGGTGGGTCGTCGGAGACTGGGAAACAGGGTCTTACCTACAAATGAATTATGACAATTGTTATGTTCTCGGTACTTCGGATAAAAGACCGTGTGTACTTCCAGTAGAAATTCATTAAGTGCCCAAGTCTTGATCATGGGACTCCTGAGCTGAGCCTTCCAGCTAGGAGCCATGAGAAATCTTGACATGGCTACTAGTCTCAAATAAAGAAAAGATTCCTCGAAGGTGAGTCGATGAACAATATATAAACGTACAACATAAATTATATTAGTAACAGCTGACACATCAGTCTTCAGCATGAGAAGCTTACATAGAGGCCCATAGGGATATTAAAATGTGTGAGATGATCCATATCACTGTTCAGTACTATTAACCTTCTTGTAATTGTGTTGTATTGGTTAGTGATTTCAATCGGATTTTTGTTATTTGTTGCAATAAATTTGAATCATGAATGAATATCAACGGATGGTTTGTTCAGGAAGCAACTGTTCCTACAACCAATGAGACTTATGTCGCCCTTTGAACCGGGCAATAACCAATGTCGATCCTTAATCAACCGTTGACAATCAGTGACAAGACCGAGCCAGTCAACTTCCCCAGACTCCATCCGATCAGATAAGATCCACCGCGTACCTGCCAACATCCCGCCTCCAAACTAACCGAAACTAGCTATTTTGCCCGAGGACCACATTCATGGCAAATAGCAAACAAGGTCCATCAATGAGAAGACAGCACGAAATGACGATCATCAACACCGCTCCGACATATATAGTGCCCCTCGCGCAACCAGACTGCACCCCCGGCAAGTCTTCAATCTCAAAACCACAGTCCCCTCACAATGCATCTTTCCACGCTGTTTCTCACGTTTCTAAGCCTCTCACCCACCCTCTCCCAACCAACATCACCCATATCCGTCACCCAACTCTTCAACTTCAGCACCTCCACCGACATTGAAAATGGCGCCATCGACCCTGTCACCAACACTATGCTCATTACCACCTTCACCGACGCCCGTCTCTACGCCCTCGACCTCAATGACCCTTACCCCACCGCCAACCTCTTGACCTCCTTCTACCCCAACGCCACCGCCATCACTGGCATAGCCCCCATCGGCCACGGCAAGTACGCCATCACCGGTGGTGTCCGTGGCTCCTATCACTACTACAATGAAACCATCTACACCATCGACTTTGGTGCCTTCGCAGCTAACATCACTGCTTCCCCGGTCACCAAAGCAGTGGCGCATCTTCCACAGGCAATCATGCTGAATGGTCTTGCTTCCCTCCCACGCCGTCCCACCACTGTCTTAGCAGCGGATTCCCGTGTGGGGTGTATATTCCGCATCGACACGCTGACCGGAACCTCGGACATCGTTGTCCAGAGCGACGCATTGTCGGCTCCGGCGAATGGGTCATCAGAGATCGGGATCAATGGACTGAAGACGCACGGGGAGTATGCGTACTATACTAATACTGCGCTGAAAACTTTTGGAAGAGTAAAGATTACCCATGATGGTATTGCGGTGCCTGGGAAAAATGGCAAGGTTGAAGCCGAGGTTCTTGCCACGTTGGACTCCGGGTTGGAGAGATATCAGTGGGATGACTTCGATTTTGATGAAGAGGGAACGGTCTATGTGGCTATGGGAGGTCCGAATGGGAGTGCGATTGGCACAATTAGTCCTGATGGTGATGTCGAGGTGTTGTTTACAAAGGTGGTTCGTGGGCCCACTTCGGTGCATGTTGTTGAAAAGGAGGGGATGAGGAAGAAGTTGTATATCACTACGAATAGTGGCGGGGGGCAGGTTGTGGAGGCGGTGCTCTGATGGAGGCCGTTATATACAGTGCCAATTAGAGTGGATTAGCTTTGTGGTGGATTATGAATGTATGGGATAGGAAATAAGGGAGTGGATTGGGTCTCGGTTTTCTGGTTGAGGACTGGGTTAGTTCTTTCCCGCATTCACTGGCTTGTACTTTAACCTAGGTGATTGGACGGGCCGGTTGCTCTCCGGGAAATTACCTCGATCAAGATTTTAGAGTAGTTATTGAAAGCCGTCTCGAGCAAAGACATTGCATTTGTACCAAGATGGTTACCGGGCTAGGATTCAACCGGTAAACGCCATATAAACAATTGCTTGAAATCAAAGCGAGGAAAAGCGGGACAAGAAAACGTAGACACAAGAATCCCAACTTCAAATCCAGCGCGAAAAATATTTCCTCTCCCCGAGATCAGTAAAATCGCCCCAGCAAAACTAAATGTACACATGATACAGACAATGCGAGGCAGAAAGTTTCAACACCACTCAGCCTCGCATCTCCTCGTTCAGATACAAAAACAAATCATCAAATGCACTGCGGTCATTGTTCAATCGCTCACCAGACACATAGTCATTAGCAGAGTGCTTATCCCTACCAACTAGCCTCCAGCTCCCTACCTCCTGCAATGCGAGGAATAGAATCCCAACAACCATCCCGATAATTCTAGGCCCGAAGACAGGCTTTGCAGGACAAAGAAAGGGAGAGATGCCGAAGGGCATGTAAGCTTCCTTCTGTTCCTCGGTCAATGTAGCAAACCGCGAAGGTTTGTATTCCAGAGCGTTTGTCCCCCAGATACTCTTGTCCAGATGACAGGCCTCAATATCTGCTGCAAAGGTCTCCTCATCGACTGTCCATTCCTGCCATCATCGAAGCGGAATGTTCGGCGGATGCGTCGGGTAGGTGGATACAGACGAAGAGCCTCAGAGACCATTACTTCAGCAGAAATGCCGTCGCCGTTTTCCTGGAATTGCACCTTCGTAGGATGCAGTGCAAAGCTCACCATCTTATCAACCCAAACCTCATTGCGACTACGCCTGATCTCGAGGAACATGCGTAGCGCCACCCTCCAGCTGGTCTCATAGCCCGGAAGGATCACATTTAGCGGATTTTCGTCGGGCTGAAACTGATCAGATGACGGAAAGAAAGCAGTGACGCAGTCCCGTAGCTCTTCATTGCCTTCAAATGAAAGGATATCGGGCCCTTTAGCTAAGATCCAGGATTCGTTGATGCATCGTGCAAAGTCGGCGAAGAAGAGGTCTCCAGAAGGTGGGATCTTAGGTTCTAGTTTGAATATCCCCACCAGCACCAATCTCAACGTAAGTGTCTGAGTAATACTGGCCAAGTGGATTGTACCCTGTGATGAGTTGACCCAGTAGCGTGCTGATTCTTGGAGAGACTGGGACAGATGGTTCCAATCCAGAGGAGTGAGATTTATAAGCATCTTGATGTCCTTCACGTGCTGGGTCACAAAGTCTTCATCGGAGCTCGTGAACGCATTTCGAATGCAAAACGCCCTTTTAAATCTGGAATTGAAGAGTGCGCGAGACTCGTAGGGTGACAACAGATTTGTTTTGTTGGTGAACTGACCATCTGCAGCGATTATCAGGCGACACAGTTTAGGTGTATTATACATGGTTGTTTTCTGTCGAAAGAAGTGGATGGAACTGTGTTGTAGAAATAGGAAGAGTATGATTACAGCGAGGCCTTTCAAGATCGTAGCAAACATTATGGAGAGGTGGCAGTGGTGCAGTTATCAACGAGAGTACTTGGCCAAGACAAACCTCATCGAAGTGATGATAGACACGGCAAAGGAGTTTTGCCTCCATTCTATGTTTCCAAAAGGTGGGAAATAGCAGACTACAGAAGTCATTCACTAACCGTCGCGTGCGGAATTTCATTCAATGCAGTTTGGTTAATACAATCTAGCCTGGTAGGCCCAGGACCTGTTTTTTGCAAACTAGCGCTCCAATCTGGGATAGCTAACTTCAGCTTGGAATAATATGGCCAGAACTTTGATGTATGTATGTATGTATGTATGTATGTATGCAAGAGCGCCTGCGGCCGGAACAAGCCCCCGAGCTGCGAAATCTAGCTATACAGGACCCTATTTCCACTCTATTCCAATTCCCCGTAATGTTACGGTATCGCTCAAATACCGTAATTCAAACATGAAGCGATCCCCAACTCCAACTGACCAATCAGAACGCTCGTAGCCGACTTCTTGTAGATGCCTTGTGGGCACCTACGAGGGCGTCGCATGTACTCAAGGGTCACAGATCATGTCTGATTCTGTAAAACCGCCCCACTCGAAAGGCTTCTTTTTACAATCCAGATTGCAGCAATGATGACTTTTGCAAGTTCGACAACGCAACCGGGATCTTCAGCATCATATGGGCCAAATGTTTCCAGAATGAGAAACTTATCACAGGCTTCATTATTCCTGTAATAATTCTCAAGCTCCTTTTCATATTTAACAAAGGTCAAGAAAATTTGGTGCCGGTCTTGAGATATAAGCAAAAAGCTGCATGAGAATCAAGAGTTAGTTACTTGTTTAGAGAGCTTGCACCTGGAACTTAACTTACTGGTCTTCGAAAACCGCTGATTCCGGAGACGTCATCATCAAGGCTGCTATTTCGCAAGCTTCTTGAATAATGACATGGTGCGACCGAAAAGCCTTCTTGACTTCAGTGATGGAGAAGACTTTAAGATCACTTGTAGAACGCAGCACTCCCTCTGTGAAGGCGCGATATCGTCGCCCATTCGCCAAAATCGGCAAGAAATCCAGCTCTGTTTAGCACCCACTCAAAGTCTGTTCGTTCTACTATGTGCGTGATTTCCTGAAGCAGAACAATAAGCGCCGCATTTGGCGTTGCTTCATCCTCCGCATCTCGGCACTTTTCAGACTTCTGATTGTTGGCGTGACTGTATAGATCGTTCGTTCCCTGTACCGTGGCTGTCTGCTCTTGCAGCCGCTTAGCAGCCATGAATGATCCCGGCCAAAGGTGAGCATGTGATTCCCTCAATTCCCGGATAGAGATGTGTTCTTGAAGAGTCCGAATGTATCCAGCCCAGTCTCGGGATTGATCAAGTAGGCTTGTTGCATCCCTCAACATGTTCTTACAGAATCCGAACTTGCTCATGTGATTGCTGAATTCAGTGGGGTGTACGATTTTAGGCGAATAGCAGCGTAGCATCAGATATTGTTTATCAGACGCTTGTGAAGCTGAGCCGAACATCTCAGTCGGCAAGGTCTTGATGGTTAACGCTTCCAATTTCGCGTTCTCCACAAGGTCCTGCCATTCCTCTGGACTACTGGGTAATTGGAAGCGTTCGACCTTTCCGAGTTTCTTTGCGGAGGATTTTTCAGAGTTCTCTTTCTCTTGTTCGGGAGGATTAGCTTGCATTAAAAGCTTCCTCTTCTTGAGCAGGGAAGACTTCATAGTCATACTCGGAGATAAACGAGCGCACCAGATGTGAACAAGCGACTGCACGAGAAGACACCTCACAAGGAGCTAATATTGCGAAAGTATTAGGAGCAAGAAAACTCGTCCAAGTGTGACAATTTCGTGCTATCTAGAACCCCCACCAACCGAATCCTGTCTGTTTGCAGTTACTTCATCTATGTCGTACAGACACGCCAGACACATAAGACTAGATAGTAAGAGAATTACGATCAAAAATCTATAGGAAAGCATAACGTTAGAAGCTGTGCTAGGCTGACAGTGAGGGTTATTTGCATTTACAAGATATGGAGAGGCGTGAGAACTAGTCCCCTTCTGCAAGAAATTACAGGTTTTAATATAAAGTGCCTTTACATCGCATGTAGAGAAGATTGACTGTTTCTTGACTTGGGCAAACAATCACTGCTACCAGACCGATACCTTAACCTCGCAAACAAAGGGGACCCGGTCATATTATCTCTTGCCTATGGACGGTAGGGTGACCTTGTAGAAGAGTCAACACAATAGTCACAAAACTATTTGGTATTAAAAGCCCGTGCGATTACCTCAATTCTTCTCATTCAGTTCTTTCTACATACAATTTCTCATCTCATGGGCATCATGTGCCCAGTTATGTGCGCTAAGATAAACCCAGGAAGTTGGCGACGAGCCAGAAGCGATAGGTGCTACCTAGCCAGACATCCTCCGCACACAAGCGCTCTGTCCTATCAGGTGTTAAGAGCATTTTTGATCTTCGAAATGTAAGTCTTGATAGAATGACTGACATTTCGCCACAAAGATCCCCTACTCCACGATTCCATCTCTCGGCTTCTAGACTCCTGACTCGAGTTATCGGACAGGGCTAGAGGGACTTCAGCTACTAGCTGTGAATGACTGTTAGTCTGTCACTTAGGATAAACCACTTCCATAGTATATGGGAACTCACATCCATCATGATGTTCATGTCAGTCGTGTTCCCGGTCATTTTGGAACACATAAAACTCATCACAATATCCATGCTCGAGATCGCCGAATCTTTGTTCGCGAAGCTAAGGAAATCAGATTTTCGAACGACGAGACCTCTGTAATCATAGTGGGCCTCTAAGATTCTGAGCTTAAGACCGGGAAAGACGCTGATAATCATGATCTAGATTTGAGTCAGTCAGATGAGCTTTCCAAAGAACAACGTCTGAAGCTGACACGAAGATCTCACTTACAGGAATGATGCTGTGGTCGGGACAATTATCACTTTGTAACCGGGTCAACATGACCGTCAACATGACCATAGTCTTGTATTTGGAAAGCGTATCATTTGCCTCAGACTTCATAAAAGTTGCAAGCAGGATGTGGGGCTTGTTGAATTGATCCATAGCTATATAAGCGTACTCCATCATCGAGTCACGCGACACCCAAAACAGGCCATCGAATTCTTCAGCAATGAGGTCCGGTGTGATATTCCCACTTCCAATAAGTTTGTCAGCTCCGGATCAATCCTCCTAGTTGTACACACTCATAAGTTTTCCAGGGGAGGAGGTGCTCACCATTCGATCCGGTTTGCGTAAGTCCGCAGCTGCAACGACCTTCCAGTCTCTGACATAACATCGCGACGGCTGGTTCGGAAAATGTCTCGTATCCCGTCCACTAACTTATAAACTTGATCGGTCACCGTTGGTGGCTGCGGGCTGGGTTTGTCCCAATTGTCGAAGATCTCCTTGACAAACTTTTGCCCCAGATCATGGGTAGGATGAGGGGAGGGGACATTGTGCGCTCCGAGAGGATCAAAGAAGACTGGCGAGAGCTTATCCTGATGAGTTCCAGCTGTTGTGATGTGCAGATCCTCACATATAACACCGAGATCTTTCTGAATATCAGGCTCAATCCACGCGGCTTGATGCTTTGCAACTGCGTTGAAGGTGTCACTGATTTTTTCTATCACTCTGGTGCGCACTTGTTCCATTTTGTCGTGATGGATACTGTCAGAACAGTCTTTGGCTGATGGAAAGATATATTAGTTTGGACAACGGGTTCAAGGGGGGTTAATGAAGTGAAGAAATAATCACAGCATTGCTCGAAGGATGAGGGGCTGGGAGGTTCAGGAGTCACAATTGAATGCTCACCGTCAGAGAATAAGCACATTGTGGAACAACGCATTAGTGTTACCCAAAGCTGGGCTCGGGGTGGGAAGTATCAGTCGCTGTGAATAGACTAGTACAACAACTGAATATGCTGCCACAAGTCTGAAAAAGAGTCCATCGTGGCCGATCTAAATCTCTTCGCCGGGCCTCCTATCTCATTAAATACCAGTTTGAAGAGAAAATGAATCGTGGAATAACCCATTGTTCTGTCACTGGACTTGCTCCATTTTAACATGATAACCCATTGTGTGAGGGCTTTGGGAAGCGTCCCAAGCACACGAAGAGCATTTGTGAATAGAGTTTATCAACCATGTGTTAATCTTTGCCACAGAAGCTCTGTGGAATCAGCCTTCTAAACTATTCTATTAGTTAATATCGATGGTTGAAATAACAGACCTGACAGGGATAGTAGAACCTTCCCAGCCAAAATGTCCATTGCGGAGAAAACCCCGAAAGTAGTACGGAATCCCCCGCCCGCCGGGAATCTTTCCGACCTCTCAACGAATTTTCCCCGGTCTCTCCCTGACATTGATGACGATCAAGGCCAAAATAATTTAAACATCATGGAACAAAGCCATAGCTACCACCATTGCACAGAGATCATAGCTACAATATCCATAGCGGTAACATTCGCATAACAACAAAATGGAATACCAACGCCTCGGCAAAAGCGGCCTCAAAACCTCCAAAATCATCCTCGGATGCATGACCTTTGGCAATCCCGCCTGGGAAGGCAGTCCCTGGGTACTTCCGGAAGACGAAGCCCTCCCATTACTCAAGAAAGCCTACGACAGCGGAATCAACACTTGGGACACAGCAAACTCCTACTCCAACGGGACATCAGAGATCCTAATCGCTAAAGCCTTGGCGAAATACAACATCCCACGAAGCAGGGTCGTGATCATGACCAAGCTTTACTATCCAGTCTTCGACCCGGATTCTCCATCGCGACCCAATCCTGCCATCAATGATGGTGAGCTAGTGAATCAGATGGGTCTGAGTCGAAAACATATCTTCGATGCGGTGGAAGGGTCCCTTGCGCGACTGAACACGACGTATATTGATGTTTTACAGCTACATCGACTGGATGATACCGAGCCAGAGGAAATTATGTGTGCACTGCATGATCTTGTCCGGATGGGCAAAGTTCATTATCTGGGCGCGTCGAGCATGTACTGTTGGCAGTTGGCGCGGTTGCAGTACACAGCGAAGATGAATAGTTGGACGACGTTTACGAGTATGCAGGGACTGTGGAACTTGCTTTACAGGGAGGAGGAGCGGGAGATAAATCCGTTCTGTAGGGCTGAAGGAATTGGGTTGATTCCTTGGAGTCCATTGGCTCGTGGGTTATTGGCTAGGCCGTGGAATGCGCAGACGTATCGGTCTAGTCAGGATAAAAAGACGGTCAAGTGGTTCTCTGGGGAGCAGAATGAGGTTATTGTTTCACGGGTGGAACAGTTGGCAAGGATGAAAGGGTGTAGTATGAGCGCTGTTGCTATTGCGTGGTTGTTGAAGAAGGGCGCGTGTCCGATTGTCGGGTTGAATAGTATGGAGAGAATTGAGTCGGCGGGAGAGGCGTTGCGTGTTGAATTGTCTGATGAGGAGGTTAGGCTACTTGAGGCAAAGTATAGGCCTCTCCCTGTGGAGGCTATATAAATACGTCCGAAGCAGGGGCTTTATAGTCTCTGCGCTTTGTAGGAATGAGATACAAGTAGGACACTTTGGTCAATATGTGCTGATAAAAAAGTGGATAAGTAGTATTGAAGAAATTATCGGATATATATAGCATCGCAAACGACTTTGAACATCAACTTCCCAGACTGCCATATCTACGGCATGAAACTCGACACTAGGTCAGGAAAGGTAAATTCCCCCATATCTGTGAAGAGAAAATCATCAACAGGAGGCTCGGTAGAGCCCAATAGAAACATATTGTTCATAGAGCCCAAGGCCTGGGCTGAGTGTCCTGTACCACCAGCTATCTCTGCCTGCTGAACCGCAGGAGGCAAGATATTGCCAGTGTGGCTAGTTCCAGACATACCATCCAGTCCTAACAGGGTGACCGTCTCGGAGAGCTTCCGGGTCAGCCCAGGAGCCATTCGGCGCAATGGGTGATATGTGATGCATTCTATCCTGCGAAAGACTCCTAAAACCGCACTAATGAGATGAAGCTCCCCGTGTAGATCAATGTTTAATTGCACATGATGATTGTGACATATCTCCAGTAACAAATGACCGGCAAATGCGATCATCACATGGAAATAGTGTGGCATGCCAACGAGGTTCTCGCTCATTTGCGGATCATTTCGGATCATCTCAAAAATGGTGACGGTCGCCTCATGAGCCATTTGGGCCGCGGATAGAAAAGGAAGGGGGATGGGATTGCCACGGAGCCCTTTGAACACTTGATGACCAAGGTATAGTTTCCCAAACTGATAGTGCAGCTCCAACCCTCTTCTTGGAAATTCCCCGATATGCGCATTCGTGACGAAGAGGGCGGAGAATCGGGTGAACCATCTGTCGAGCTGTCGCGAGTAATTCGTAATCTGATGAGTAAGGGCCGATGGAAGCTGCATCTCCTTGTCGGACCCCAAGACATCTCGAACTTGGCCCATGATTAAAAGCAGCGACACCTGCGACAGAATTCGCACGTCTGACTCTGTTGCCTCTGCGCGATGTAGGTATGATTCCCAGCTCACCGCAATATCCTTATCGTTCCGCAGAAGCGAGTCGCGGTTGTGGAGGATCGAGAGGTGTTGATCGCAGACGAATAATAAATACCATAGGCGGATGCGATCTGCTGCAACTATTGGTGACGAGTTTGATGGGGAAGAATACTCGGGCGGATGAATGCCAAGAAGAGAGTCGAAATTGCGATGGAGACGCATATCAGCTGCTCGACGGATGCCATCACTAGACAAGATTCGTGAAGCATCTGCAAGCCAAAAAGAGGTAATACATAAGGCTCGTAGATATTCCACGTCACGCTTCTCAAATAGAGACCGCGCAACCTGGGAGCGAAACTCGCGATTACACGCTTCGTAGGTTTCCTGATCATGGGGGTCATGGAGGGCTGAGACAGTGCATATGGCAGCGAGGAGTGTTGGAGATTCCTTGCGTAGATGGGTTATATCCTGATTCTCATTACAGATGCCATAGAGAAAGTGATCTAGACGGGAGAAGTAGCGGTGCAGTAGCTTTTCTGCTGTTTCGACTGTGATGATGCCTTTACTAATGAGATCCACTCGGCCAGTAGCGCGAGTGACACCTGGTGGAATCTTCGTGGCGTTTGGAGTTCCATGTTTGGCGATATCGAGGAAAGTATCAATAGGAGCCTGCACCGCTGTGGGTGACTCTGGTGGGGATACCTCGCATCCTTCCGTTGGACAAGCGTCACATTCACGGTCTGGCCCGATGCTTTCTGTAATAGCTCGCCGCTCATTTCCCTCATTTGCTGATATTAGAAGTGGCCTTGGGCGTTGAAGGTCTAAGGTCTGGCAGATGGTGTCAATGGTCTGATGCAGATTCTGCACGTCGGTCCTCAGGTGCTCGACATTTCTGTAAGGCATACAAGTTTAGACTACATAGTTTGAGGTGGAAGAGGGAGAAACTGACTTGGTATCTTCAACCAAAGATTGAAGACTTCGATTTAGTACACAAGACAGCGATCGCCGGCGACATCGAACGCAAGGTGGACCATTTTCTGGCATATCACATTTTGTCTAAGGCGTGAGTATTAGATTGAGCGATGTAACCTCTTAGACACCGAAGTTTCACCTTGTTTTTCCGACAGGCCACACATGCAGTGACCTTTCGGGTGATACTGGGCAAGACATTAACCAGCGATGGGATTGCTGTGGGTTGTTGCGGGCTTCTCTCCGCGTCCTGACGGGCAGGCGACTCAGACCGACCGGGATAATCCGAGGAGCCTTGCTGCTGTCGGGAGCTGGCCGAAGCTGGCGTGAGGGAGCCAGCGACTTCTTCCCTGTGGCCGTCGGCTTCCGCTGTGGATGCCTGTCGCTTGCGCTTGACCATGTCGAATTGTAGGGCTTTTGATATCGCCAACATGTCATTTGTCTGATGTTTCTGAGGGTTGTTGGGCGTTCAGCCCGGTTACCCCGCATTGTCGGTTATGTTTATCCCGATCTTGTCGGGAGAAGCCCGAGTGGTTTGTTATAAAGACACTAGTAGTTTGTAGTATTGAACAGTATTCCAGGTAACAGCCATGACCTCAGCAATTCCGCACAAGAGCAAACCGTTGCCTCCGGGCATATATTGCCCAGTAATCTCTTTGTTTAAAGGAACACCACGGCAGGAAATCGACTACGACGCTTCCTACAAGTTCTTCACCCATCTCATCCGGAGTGGGATTGCCGGACTCGTACTCGCTGGCACGAATGCTGAGGCGGTTCTGCTATCGTCAACTGAGCGAAAGGAGTTGTTAAGAACTGCTCGACGGGCGGCTGTGGATTTAGGGGTGGGTGACTTTCCACTGGTGGCAGGGATTAGTGGACAATCAACCAACGAATCTCTTCGCCTGGCTGAGGACGCTCGTGAGGCAGGAGCAGACTTTGGGCTACTTCTGCCGCCCAGCTATTGGGCTAAAGCAGTCACAAAAGACGTCATTTTGGACTTCTACACGGAGGTAGCAGACAGCAACATTCTTCCAGTCGTTATCTACAGCGTAAGCTCTCTTTCCACACATTATGCTTGCATGAAAGTGGGCTGAACTAGGACCTTAGTTTCCAGCTGTCTGCAATGGGGTGGATATGAACTCGGATGTCATGTCCACATTGGCGCAGCATCCCAACATAGTCGGGGTAAAGTTGACTTGCGGTAACGCTGGCAAGGTTACCCGGTTAACTCAAGAATATACCCATGAACAGTTTGGGGTATATGCGGGCTCATCTGACTGGCTCATCCCTTGTCTCAGCGGAGGCGGGTCAGGCTGCGTGACAGGAATTGCCAATGTTTTCCCGAAATCAACTGCCAGGCTATTTTCTTTGTGGACGGCCGGGCAGCTGGAAGAAGCGAGGAAATTGCAGGGGCTGATATCCCAGGCCGAAAAGGCCTGCAAAGAAGGCATTGCGCCCACCAAGTTTGCCGCTGCACATTTTGCCGGACCAGTCGCCGGAGTGACGGATCAAGCAGCATTCCTCCCTCGAAAGCCGTATAAGGCGTCATCAGCAGCAACACAGGAATGGGTTATCGGTGTGATGAAGCATCTTGTGGAAATTGAGAGTTCTTTGCCAGATGTGCAAAGGGGTTGAAAAGATAGGCCCTGATCGAAGGATCCTGTTTCATAATTAGATTATGTTCGAAGCTACTGAGGGTGATATAAAAATCTACGAGTTGCTGCAAATATTAGTGAACTACTGTATCTGTTATGTACTTTGGTCTTATATTTGTACTGAAATCTCGTTTGACTTTCTCATCATCAAAGCAGCTTCTCGGATGTCGCTAATGACGAGTTTCCGACATCTGATTGGTCAAGTGCAATGGCCCGAGAGAAATGGTATACTAGCTTTGCAGACCAAGCAACGCGCTATTGCGAACGCCTAGGTTATATGATTGCTTGGTTTTCAAAATGTCGCACGGGCTGCGGCGTGCTTGGTTATTGATCTGGAGCCGCCATATGAGCCTTTTAGTGATTCGTGAGAGACTCAAGGATATTACAGATTGAATAAGTGCGTTGGTTTATATCTTCCCGGGCAACGTATTCCTCCGTCTTATAGAAGACCCTGTGAGAGGACATCGCAGTCTAGAAAGATATTGACTGATCTTAGTGTTGGCTACACCTGTAAAAGCTAGGAGTCACCAATTTCTTTTTACACCTATCGCTACTTAAATTGTGTCTTATAAGTGAGAATACTCGTCCTAGATAGTCTTTTCTGTTCAATGTGTCTGATGAATGCCGTCACAATAACTAAAACAACCAAAAGCAAATCTGTTATTAGAGAGTCCCAGGCAAGTATACGCCCCCCGAGGCTGTGTCATCTACTCTATGTATCCCAGTCTTGTCAACATCCGTCTCATAGATGCCGATAACCATGCAGCCAACCCTCCCTCAAAGAAGTCTTCCTTGAGCTGCACGTACTTGATCCGCTGTCGCCAAAATGTATACGCAATGTGGATCGTCCCATCAGCACAGATCATGCTGGGATACGACAGCTCTCGATTGAGCTTTCTCTCGCTGTTGTTCGTCAAACAATACCCGTCCCCTTCCTCTAGTATGCGATGCTTCCATGTGTTTCCCTTATCATCGCTCCAAGCAACACACAAGGGAGCTCTTGGTGACCCCCAAAACGACTCCCTGCCGTCCTTCGCTGCTGCCTGATTTTTTCTTTCGTCCACCCCATCAGCAATATCATCATACAGGCCTTGTCTTCTTCCGAGAGCATCACGCTTGGAAGAATGATTGTAAACTAACACTACCCTACCGGAAGGCAGCACATCAAAACAAATGCCCGCATTCGGGTTTGGGAGGGAGGTCGGCTGTGGGGTACTCCAAACTAATCCATCTGGCGATGTCGCCAGGTAGACGTTGTCGGCCCAGCGACTGCGGAACATGCCCAGATACGTTCCGTCCTTCAGTCTCTGGATCTCCATATGTACGCACCCCGTGCTTTCGGGAATCTCCGATTCGGTCCAGGAACGGCCCTGATCCCTCGACACGCGGATGCAGGAAATGTCATCATTTCCCAGCCAGCGCTCTCCCGGCTGCACACGACACTTGAAAACTGGAACTACCCAAGCTCCATCATCAAGTACAACCACTGGCTGTCGGATGAAGGTGCCGGTATCGTGAAATAAGACCTTCTCATCGCCCCATGTGGTGCCGCTATCGGGAGACACCCGATACTTGACAATGGCTGTGTCCTGGTCTCCAGCATGCTGAGAGGTGTAAAGAAGCCATAAGTCTCCGGTAGGTGTGTGGAAGAGAACGGGATTCTGCTCGCTCCGGGTGTGGTCGTGGGTCATCTTCGACGCTTCCGTCCACTCACTCTCCCCGCATCTCAGCCGAGAAAGATAGATGCTGATGTCGGGTTTTCCTTCTAGACTTCCGCCAAACCAGGCACATAGCAGGTCGCCGTTCGGCATCCGGAGTAGATTAGATGCATGGCTCTGTACCGTGGGCGCAGGCAGGTATGCCTCGCGGTAGAAGTAGGGTTTGTCCACGGAACGGATTGAACTGTCCGAAGGGAATATGGTAGCCATCGTCAACAAAAACAGACTGGCTTAGATTTGTGGTCAAAACATCTTAGCTTCTCGCTCAAAATGCTCTCTCTTTATTTCCAGAGCTCCAACATGATGGCCTAATGAAAGTGCTTTGATTGGCTGATTTCCACAAAGGACCCAGGCCTTTCGGCCCAGCGCCGACGAGCCCTCGACGCTCGGAGGACAGTCCGATGATCGGCTACAGAGCATAGCTTGGATTGATCTCCGCATTTACCCCGGATTCAATGCAGCTATTGCTCTGGGGTAATGCAGATCATGCCGAAACAGTCCAAGAGGGGCTGTGATCATGCGCAGCCTCCCCTCCATATAATGGAGCCCATTTTCGGTAGCAACCAGGGTGTATCTCGTCCTATGTGGGGAGAGTCATACCTTGGCTTTCACATTGACCAGGGCCAGAACTCTTGTCATTGCACGCTCAAGTGGCCAAACATATTGTCATTTAATTGTTGTCCTAATATCCAAGTCGCGTCTCAATGGCTGGAGGAACCAGCATCTGGGCTAGCCAGGAAGCCAGAACCGATCCCAGGCAAATCTTCAATGGAAGGTTAGCCTATCTTCTGATCACTCTTGCCTGGGCTGGTTGGTTTTATGGCTTCGATACGGGGAATATCGGAGGCATTCTCACATTACCATCGTTTGAACATGCATTTGGGCTCGACAAGCTGACTACCGCAGAGCTTGATAGCCGCAAGGTACCATGCTCGCATACTCCCTCAACGCAACGGAAAATGCTGACCGGTATAGGGGACCATTGCAGCAATGCTCGCAGCTGGCGGATCAGCTGGCTCTCTCTGTGCAGCCCCAACCGCCGATTTCCTAGGTCGCAAGTGGTCTGTTTTTTTATGGGGGTTTGTGTTTGTTATCGGTGGCGTGATGCAAATGATTGCCAACTACAAAGTACTCATTGCTGGTCGCTTCATCGGTGGAATGGGAGTTGGGGCCAGTTCGATGCTATCTCCACAGTTTCTTGCTGAGAATTCACCAAAGTCGGTGAGAGGGTCGGCAACAGCCATGTACAACCTCATGATTCTAGCGGGATTGATGGTCGCCTTCTGGATCAATTACGGTGTTTCTTTGTGGTCATTTCCCGGTGTTGAGCAAGATAACACCCAATGGAGGACGGCAATGGGGATTCAGTTGATTCCTGGGGTCTTGATGTGTCTCATGATACCTTTTGTTCCTGAAACGCCTCGGTATCTGATCAATCATGCAAAGGAAGAGCAGGGGCTGAAGAATCTCTGTCGGCTGAGGAAGCTCCCTGCTGATCATCCGTATATTCAGACGGAATATCAGGAAATAGTTGCTCAGGTCAGGTTCGAGCAAGAATGCCATCAAGGACACAGCTACTGGGTCGTTCTTCAAGACATCATTTTCATCAAGAGCAACGCACGGCGATTTTTTCTTGCCGTTATGTTATTCCTTTTCCACAAGTTTACCGGCACTGATTCCTTGAATGTGAGTCCTGAAGTGTCTATCACTCACCATCACATTCCATACTGACAGAACTCACAATAGTACTACGCCCCAGAGATATTCGAGCTTATCGGCGTAAACGGAACGTCGAACAGCCTCCTCACTACAGGCGTCTATGGAGTCGTCAAATTCGTCGTTACAATCTTCTACGTCACCTACCTAGTCGATCGCGTCGGTCGTCGTCGACCACTTCTCGTCGGTGCTGTCCTCCAAGCAACCGCCATGCTATACCTTGCCCTCTACCTCCGCTTCGCCGGTACAAACACTAGCACCATTGGTGGGACACCAGCGGGAGGCATTGTTGGAATAGTGTGGATCTACAT